GAGAAATAGCTGCTCACCCTGGTTCCGATGGTACCAAGAGAGGTTTCAGTCTTCCTCTCTGGATGTGGCACTTGCTTCGGTGTCCTCTTCACTCCCTGATGACTTCTGCCAGTTTCAGGATCTCCTAAGGAGGGTGGCAGGGGAGCTTTACATCCCACTGGAGGAGGTACAGGATACCCAACACCAGCTCCTGGACATCCTTTATTCATTGGCACCGGGTAAAATTGAGCTACTCATCAACGACACTCTACTCGAGCCGCCCAGGACAGCTTGGCACACATCCGCCGTATGTACATCTACTCCAAGTGATTGTAGAAGAGGGTAAACTGGTGGCGAGGACTTCGCTGCATCCTCAGGTGATTGAAGTGGACACTTCTGCGTGGTCCGTGGCCATGGGTATAGTTTGTGGCAGGAATTGTGGCTCCATACCTCTGATTTCCACAGGGAGGTACAAAATATCATCTAAGATCTCCCTTTCAACAAATCCCATCTTTTTAACCAAAAAATACTATTCCTTGCACACCCTCAAGGATTCCAGAGCTACAGTGCATACCCTGGGTATTTACACGCCTGCATGGAAGTGCCAGTTCTACCACTCACCTCCACCTCCACAATGCGACTGGACCAAGCAGCTCTTCCATCAGAGGCCCTATGAACTGCCACATAAGCATCAGAAAACTCTCAGATCACACCCTCCGGGACCACCTTTGCATTCTTCCTCTTCTCAGATGCAAACCACCAGAGACAATATTTCTGAAAAACTCTAGAGAGCAGTCAATCACAATGCCTACTGCATACAAGCACCCCACCCCTTTCGGGGGTCATCTGTATTCTTCTTTTCAGCTTGGAGTGCAATAAGAGACAGGGGAGTGCTAAATGTCACCCACCATGGCTATACGATCGAGGTCAGCACGCTACCTCATCCACAGCCCCCAATCCTGTTCCCTCTCCTGGGATCAATCTCACAACAGCACTCTCACCCAAGAGGTATGCTCCTCTCTGTAGTAAGGAGCATACCTCAAGACAGCATGTCCCTCTGGAATATTGAGGAACGGGGTTCTATTCAACTTACTTCCTGATAGGTCTCCATCTGCCCTTTTTCTTGGCTATCATGGACCTTTGTTTTCTCAATCGATTCATCCTGAAGCTAAGATTGCTGCTAGTGTTACCATCTGAAATCATCCCCTCATTAGAAAAAGGCATGTGCTTTACAGCTCTTGATATGCAGGATGCCTGCTTTCACATAGACTTTCATCTGGCCCACAGATGGTTCCTCAGATTTATGGTCAGCTCATATTTCCAGTACAGAATTCTCCCCTTTGGATTCACCATGGCTCCCAGAGTGTTCACCAAGCTTTTCTCGGTGGCAGCTCACATAAGACATTATGGACTTATTATATTCCTGCATTTCGACAACTGGCTTCTGGCAGCACAGTCCAGACAAGAAGCTCAGGCCTCAACCTCTGTTGCTGGGCTTCCTTTCTTCCGTAGGGGTCAGTATCAAAACCGAAAAGTCAACCTTAAAACCTACCCAATGCCTACAACTTCGTAAGGGCCACCATCAACTCGGTCACAGCTCAAGCCTATCTACTATGGGACAGGTTCCAGATTCTGCAAGAACTCATAACTCTGCAAGAACTGACAATGTCAGTCATAGCCAGGACTTACCTCTCCCTCCTTGGTTACATGGCCTTGTGCACATATCTCACCACCTTTGCTTGTCTTCACTTTCGCAACCTCCGAATGTGGCACCAGAAGGTTTACTTGCCAATTCATCATACTGTGGATCTCAGGCTCACAGCTTCCCCCCTCCCCCAAAGGTACTCTCATCCCGTGGTGAGTCGTGGTGGGAACCTCATCAGGTCTGTGAAGGAGGAGTTCCCTTCTCCCCCGCCCGCCCCACCCTGCCTTCCTGGAAAGGACTATTGTCACAGATGCCTCCCTTCTAGGCTGGGGAGCACATATGGATGGACATATGACTCAGGGAACATGGACCCCTCGGGAATCCAAGATGCACATCAACATTCTGGAGTGCTGAGCTGTAAGAAAGGCATGCCAGGCCCTTCTCCCACGCATTTGTTCCCACCATATTTTTATTGTGTTGGACAATACCACGACGGTGTGCTACATCAACAAACAAGGGGCACGAGGTCACCAGTTCTGTGTTCATAAGCAGTCACCCTTTGGAACTGGTGTATCGACCACAAGATAATCTAGTCTACAGCCTCTCCCCCAGGGACACTGAAGTGATTGCAGACTCGCTCAGCAAACGGTTCATGATCAACTACATGTGGGAACCCCACGACAATGTACTACAAGCCAGCTTCAACAAATGTGGAACTCCGACCAGAGACGACTTTGTATCCTCTGTGAATGCATGTTGCTCAATTGGAGGTCTGGGACAGCACTCTCAGCATGATGCTTTCATCCTACCCTGGTTGGATCAATTCAGTTATGTCTTCCCTCCTCTCCTGCTCCTACTGCGGGTACTACACAAGATCAAACGGGACAAAGCGACAGTCATCCTGATAGCCCCACACTGGCCCAGACAGTTTTGGTTTCCCAACCTCCGTCACATGTCTGCATGCCCCCCAATTCCCTTCCCCTGCTCTACTGATACAATGGCAGCAACAGCCATCCTAATCCATGGGTGCTTCCCCTCAGGGCATGCTATTTGGATGGGCATCTTTTTGAATGGATGTGTTCTTCACCAGTACAAAATGTCTGCTAGATGAAGAGCTTATTATCAAATATTTGTTCTCCCTAGGGTACTTAAAACCTGATCAATGGATGACACAAAGCTCAGTCATTGTAAGGTGTTTTCTAATCCTTTAATCATTCTTGTGACTCTTCTCTGAACCTCACCCCACTATTTCAATATCCTATGTGAAGTGTGGACATTAGAACTGGTAATAGTATTCCCGCAGTGGTTGTATTCATGCCAAATAGAGGTGCAATCTCTCCCCTTAGGTTTTTCCCTGTTTTATGCATCTAAGGAACACATTAGCCCCTTTGGCCACAATGTTGCAGGGGCAATTCATGTTTAGTGGATTATCACACCCTCTTTCTCCCCCCCCCCCCCCTTCACCTAACCTTTTTCAGTCAGTGCTTCCTAGGAGAGAGTTCCCTATCCTATGAGTATGGCCTATATTCTTTATACCAAGATATCTACGTTTACATTTAGCTCTATGAAAATACGTGGTTCTGCTTGCACCTACTTTAGCAAGTGATCCAGATTAGTCTATCAGTGCTCTGTCCTCTTCCTTTCTTACTACTCCCTAACACTTTTCATCTGCAAACTTTATCAGTGATTTTGATTTTTGTCCTGGAGCTCTGATTAATAGCAGAGAGCCAAGAAATAGGCCCTATACAACCCAACTCAAAACTACACCTGCTTGGGCCTGAGTTTGTTTACAGTTATGTAGTGACACCTATTAGTGAGCCAGTTTTTAATCCATATAATGCATACTAGGTTAATTTTATATTCTAGTTTTTTTTTAAACAGTCCTGTAGTACCAAGACAAATGCTTTATAAAAGTCTGAGGGGGAGCCGTGTTAGTCTGGATCTGTAAAAAGCAGCAAAGTCCTGTGGCACCTTTAAGACTAACAGATGTATTGGAGCATGAGCTTTCGTAGGTGAATACCCACTTCGTCAGACGCATGTGTATTTACCCACGAAAGCTTATGCTCCAATACATCTGTTAAAGGTGCCCCAGGACTCTCTTGCTCTTTATAAAAGTCTGAGTGTATTACAGCACCCCTATTACCTTTCATCCACCTAGGGCAGTGGTTCCTAAACTTTAATAACCTGTCAACCCCTTTCACTAAAATGTCAAGTCTCACGAACCCCCTCCTAAAAATGAATATTTCCAGGGATTTTTCTCCTTTACCTAAGTATAAATTATAAAAGCAGTGATCTTAGAAATATAACATTTGTTTTTATCACATGCTTATTACACATTTATTGTTTATCATTACAGTATTTTTATTACATTATGAAAACAGCAACATTCTTGCAAGACCTCACTTTCATAGCTTGTATCACTTTGAATAAGCCTGTTACAAGACAAGGCTCCTGTGTTTCATCAAGGAGTGTCAGATGTGAAACAGCGTGAAGGTATTTAAGAAGCCAACTCAAAGAGTTCCTCCTACACAAGCATTCAGGTCTTGAGCAGGACAGGCAAACAACATACGTTACAACAAAGCTTAAACTACTTCATAATAATTTCAAAAACAATACTAGCTGCCTATTTAATTTTAAAAACAGCAAAAAATATCCACCTCCCTTTCCATTTCTTATGAGGCGTCTTGAAGTTTATAATCTCCTCAATGTGATAGATATGCTTGCTTGGATCTGCTTAGCTCTTGGAAGTCCAGGGTCTGGGTTGCTGGCCCTGTGCTGCCCGGGGACAGCTCTGTCTGCCATTAGGGAATTTTTCCCCAAGAAGCCCCTGTAACATTTTGTGAACCCCAGTTAGGGAACCACTGAGCTACAGTGACCAGACAGCAAGTGTGAAAAATTGGGATGGGGGTGGGGTGTACTAGGAGCCTATATTAAAAAAAAAGACCCCAAATTTGGGACTGTCCTATACAATTGGGACATCTGGTCACCCTACAGCCACCAAATGTATCGTCTCAAAAGCCCTAGTTCCTGGGACAGGCTCTATTTTCTGCAATTCTTCATTCATCAGGCCTCTAGCAGTGCGGGGGCGGGGATAACGAGCCCTGCTGCTTCCCCTGCCCTCTCGTGGCTGGAGAAGGCTGATCCAACTTGTCAATCACAGACAACCCCTGCCTTCCCTTCCCATTCGCCGTTTCCAAACCGCCCCCGCCTCCTCTTCCTCGATGCCTTTTAAACGCGGTTAGGGGCACCGCCTACAGCATCGTCATTAGGCCACACCCATTTCTCCCGCTCCACCAATCCGCTAGGCTTGAGAAATTGTCCATCATCTCCCGCGACGCACTTACGTACACGTGACGTCAGACACCACCCAGGAAGCTCCGCCTATTTATTCTGAACTCGGCTCTTAAGGGGAAAAGCAATTTCAAGATGGCGGCCGCGCAGCTAACAATGGGGAGTCGGGGGCTTGGGCCTGAGCGAGGCGGCCGCCGCGCCTGAGGGGAAGTGGAGCGGGCTCCGGCCGGGCAGGACTGAGGCGGAGGGAGCGGTAGCGGGCCGAAGGAGGAAGTAGGGTGCGGGGAACGGAGTCGGGCCCGGCCCGAGAGAGAAGGAAGTGGGGGGTGGGCGAGGCCTGAGGGGAACCCGGGTGGGAGGGGGCGAGGCCTGAGGGCTGCCTGGGTAGGGTCCGAGGGGAACCCCGGTCTCTCCCTTGTCGGTGTCCTGGCCATGGTGGGGTCGGCGTGAGGAGCCGGTGAACGGCGGCGGCCGCCTCGGTCCCCGGCCCATGGTGCTGCCCCCCTGCCCCATGGCGGAGTTCGTGGTGCCGCGGCACAGCGCGGTGATGGAGCGGCTCCGCCGGCGCATAGAGCTGTGCCGGCGGCACCACAGCGCCTGCGAGTCCCGCTACCAGGCCGTGTCCCCAGAGCGCCTGGAGCTGGAGCGCCAACAAACCTTCGCTTTGCACCAGCGCTGCCTGCAGGCCAAGGCCAAGCGGGCCGGGAAACACCGCCAGCCTCCCCCGGCGCCGCCGCCGCCCGCCCCTCCTCCTCCTCCGGCTGTGGTTGCGGGCAACGCCGACAGGACTGGAGCCAACGGCCTCGACACTGACGCCGCGAGTAGCGAGCAGCACGGCCGCAGCAGTACCTTGATCGCGGTAAGGAGCAGCTGGTTCCCGAGGTCGGGGTGGGTGAGACAGTGCCCAGCTGGCACAGCTACTTCCCCGTCCAGGCTGGTGTAGGAGAGGAACCCTCCAACCCTTCTAGAGCTGGAATCGTGGCCCATACGGGCAGGAGGTAGCGTTACATTGTTAGGTGCCTGTGCAGTCCATACTAAAACTTAGCGGTTGGTATTCCTGCCCCGACTGCCATCCTCCTGCATTGACAGCACATGCAGAAGCGGCCAACAACGGATATGGAAGGGCCAGGAGTGACTTCCATTTAGAACAATCACAGATGTTGTAGCAGCTTAGAATTGTGCTCCATGTAGCCTGGCTATTTATGGTTCTGACAAATTGACTCTCAGTTGTCTCTGCAGGAGCAACCCGGTAGTACTTGTTCTGTGACTGTTTTCATACTTCTATTTTTTTGAAAGCGAACAAGAAGGGAGATGGAAGCTGTCAGGCATTAGTCAACAGTTCTAGTTGGTTGGTAAAGACAGTTCTTACTAACTAGAAGTTTTCTGCTTTTCAAAATAGTAACGTCCATTAATACTACACCACACTGCACGGAACTCAGTGAAGTGGTGCTAGAAAGGCAGCTGACTATTTGCCACTTTTTCTACTGGATGTGAACTAATATTGACCCATACACTGATCCCACTCCACCCATTAAAAATGGCTTGATTTTCAAAAGGATCCTGGTTGTGAATATGTACTGTAAAATAATGTTTTATGTGCATCAGTATAGGTGTTTAATTTGTTTTGGGCTCTTTAAAGTGGTCTATATGATATGGCCAAGGAGCAGGGAAATGCAGTGTAGCAGAACAAATTTTAAAAAGTGACTCTCTGCCTTCATAAAAAAGTAAAGTTTCTAAACTGTATCCCAAAGTCCATCATAAAACTATTATCCTGAGCCCCTTTCAAGATGCCTCTTGGCATTAATCGGGCACCTTTCCAGCTATATGCATATTTAATGTCACATTCAAGTTACAGCCAAAAGTAGTAGTCACAAAGTTGTCTTTAACTGGCCTTTGGGATTTGGAAGTGAATTCTCCAAGGGTAAAATCTGGCATGTTGGAAGTATCAGTGAGATGCATAATGCATTTTTTTTTTTTTTTAAACAAACAAACACACTACCTTTTGTGTTATGCAGCCCACACTGAAGTGGTGGAATGCAGTGTAGTTTGTTTGGTTTCCTGAGCACTGATCAAATCTAGATAGAAAAAGAGGGCATGATTCGCCATTTTTTTACACCTTGTATAATTTGTTCAAGTGAAAAAAGGATGTAAAATACGTTTAAATCAGAAATGTCTAGTCACACCAATGGTAGCACTTTATGTTCACTGTGTACGGGAGTATATGACTACATAAGACCAGAAGAATCAGTCACAATGAATTAGCCTGTAGTATGACTAGGATTACAAACTTGCATTTTTCATGGTTGTAGTGTGAACGACAAGTATCACTTGAGTGAATCACTTCTCTTAACTCTTAAGTGGTGGGACACATGTCTTTCTGATGATTCCTTTGGATCCTTGTCCCCTTCTGAAGGAAAAAATCCTTATGATTGTGTCAAAAACTTCACACAATAGAAGAGGAGAAAAATCCTTGAAAGAAGGAACAATTTGTACTTTCCTAATGAGAATACACCTCTACCCCGATATAACACGAATTTGGATATAACGCGGTAAAGCAGTGCTCGGGGCAGGGGCGGGGCTGCACGCTCCGGCGGATCAAAGCAAGTTCAATATAACACGGTTTCACCTAGAACGCGGTACGATTTTTTGGCTCCCGAGGACAGCATTATATTGGGGTAGAGGGGTATCTATATCGCTTCAGGGAGACTTTGCTTAGCAGGCTGGGTCTTGAATGAAGATTTGTGGTGGAACCAAGGATTTAAATGCCTGTTTTGCTGATCATAAAATTAAGGCTTCTGCTTGCTTTGCATCTGGACTTTAAGGATTCACACTTGTGGCTCGTTCAGTTCATTAGATAATATAGATTAACACACTGATTTCACTTACTTAGACTGTCAGCACACTTCCTCATACTGAATCTCTGAAAAAATGTCTTGAATCACTGCTGGTATTTATTTTAAGTTGCTCTGGATGTGGATTTCATCTCATTAGCTTGCATTATAATGAGGACTCTAAATTCCCCAAGAACAGTGTGGTTTTGAAGTGCACTGCGCATCTAGGGAAGCCCTTCTTGTACAGGAAGCTGCCTCCAACTGTTGATTTACACAACAGAGGAGGCCTTTAGTGTATGAATGACTGTTCCTTGTGCTGACCTGTTGCTCCTTTCCTAGTATACATGACTGTAAGATAAATTGCTGCTGCTGCTTCATCTTGTTACTTGGTTATAAAGTTGGATCACTTAGTAATTCAACTAAAAAAAATCCCTCTTTGTATGTTGCTTATTTCAGTTCTTTGGTGTAGTCTGTACTACTTTAACCCAGAGCCTGATGTTTCACCACCAACAGTCAGGTAACAAATATCAAAACTGAGCATGCTGTGGTGGGAGGGGGTGGAGTATTGTCTGAAATGTTCACTAAACCTGTGGTTTCACAACAAAATTATTTTGTTTTAAAATAGCTTGGGCATATTCCTTTCAAAATAATGTTAGTTAAGCCATTAACCAGGTAATACACCAGCCAATGCTACTGCTGCTGAGTTACATGGAACTTTTTTGAAAGAGATCCATATAAAACATTTTCTAGAAGGCTTTGCTCTGTATAGTGCTACTTTCATTTAAAGCTAATGAAACATTGATGTTGGTCCCTTTTTTTTTTAAAAGCCACTTGCAATAATGCAATAATGCCAATGCAGGTGAGCTGCCACGCTGTATAGCATCTGATGACCTATAATGAAAGGACATTTCTGAACAGCTGTATTTATTTGCTTGTGAATTCCAAGGTGCTGTGTGTACTCAATAGCAGTTCAGAATAGTAAAAGGGGAGCAATGGGAGCACCTTCATTTCTTTTTTGGCATTTTCTGTGGTGGTGATCCTCACATGGGACGTTAGAAATCAAGTGCTTTGTCTGATAGTTATTTCTTCGTTTTAGACCCAGAAACCAGACAATCTTGGGGCATAAACAGAAGTGTGGGTCACTTTAATCCTTTGTTTGTTTGCCAGGATGAATATGCTGTGACACAGAAATACTTCTGGTTGAGGGTGTGTGCTACCTAAGCTTGTCCTCCAGTTTAAAAAAAAAAAAAAGGAAACAATGCTTAGTTTTCTTTTTTTTTTTTTTTTTTTTTTTCCCTTAATGTGAGGCTGTTTTTAAGGTTTTGAAATGTCAAATTTACATTTCAGTCTTAACTATTTTCTGCCTTATGAAGGCAAGTGTTAGTATTTGGATAACGGGGTGTCCCTCATGCTAATCTTGTGTTTCAGAAACATTGACATTAGACAAAAAAGACTTATAGGTCATATAGCACACCTCCTCTTTTCCTAATTTCCGGTCTAGGACTGCTGCTTTCAGTTTCTTCCAGTGCTTTAAGGTAAACTTCCTTTTAAATGTCCATAGTGTGTGTGCGGGGGGTTCTTCCATTTCCCTAGAAAGATTTTAACATAGACTCAAAATCTCACTATTAGGAAGTCTCTTTCTGATGTAGGTTTCGGAAGAATTCAAAGATTTGGATTTTCATCTCCACTGCTTATTTCATGTTGTGCTTTCCTAGCCAGGAGACCAACCAACATTAAACAGACCTGTTTACACATTTCTTATGACTTGCTTTAATCAGTGAACAGCTGTTGTATAGGTGATTCACTTTTTCTAGTCTTGCCTCAAAACCTAGAATGGTATTTCTACAGTGGCCAGGAAAGCTCAGTCTGTAATGGGGAAAGATTCTTCTTAAATCTTAAGAGCACACAATATTAGTCTTTAGCAGCTGAGCAGTTAGTTGGGTCTGATATGAAGAGATGTTGTTACACTGAAAATGACCTCTCTGCTCTGTTTAACCCCAGTGAAATAAAGGTGTCCTAGATTAGAGCCAGCGTGGGATTATTTTTTTAATCCAGCTCCTATCCTGCCCTGCAATACTCACTCGCTCCTGCATTGTTTCTTGCATTTTTATCTCACTCCCACATGCAAAAACCTTAAGTTCTGCAAAAGGGACAGATTTCCCCCATGCTACTACAAACAACAAGCCCCAGAATGGTCAGTTAATATATTGTGTATATATAAATAGAATTCAGACACAGTTTTTACCACAAAAGAATAAAATAAATCTTGCTTAAACATGTAAACAAAACCCTTTAACTCGTGTTATTATAGACATCAAATCTTTCTATCCCTTGCTTAAATTTAAATATTAAAACCTTTATTTTAAAAAAAGAAAAACTTGCTTTACATTGCTGAAATTCTATTTCCTGAATTGTTTTCCTGCAAATTACCACAGTCTGTTTTTGGGGTGTTTTTTTTTTTTTTTTTTTTCCTTCCCACAACAAAGTACACTTTACCTGCTCCTATGGCAGTGGGTCCTCCAGGAGGTAAAAGATGAAGCGTTTTAAGCAAAAATAAGATTGACACAAAGTAAAAGAAAGTGAGGAAAACTGTATCTGTCCTGACTTTCAGATCTAGAGTAGTAGCAGAAAATAAATGAAGTATTGTTTGGATTGGACTTGCAAGGGTTCCTAGTGTTGCAGTTTAACTTACTTGAAACCTTTTTTTGGGGGGGTAGGGGGCGACGGGAGGAGGAGGAGGAGGAGGAGGCATTAGCTCTGTGTGTGGATGTCAGAAATGTCTTTTAATTACTTTTTGGCCCCAAAATAGCAAAATATGAATAATTTTGCAATACTCTACTATAACAGTATAGTGCTGTCTCACCATAATTACACCATTGCCATCATCTGCTGACAAGTCTGATAGTTTGTTGCCAAACAACTCAAGCAGGTTTTTTGTCTGCTTTTTCTTGGCACAAGTTATTGCGGTGTGCTTAAAACATTTTTTTTTTTTAATTGGATTGCTAAGGCCTGCAGTGGTGTTTCCTAA